GACCAAAACTTGCTATATTGATAATTCCGTTGCCTTCCATTTTGGTCACAGATTATCAGACAAAGTACAAGGTACAAAGAAAAAAAAAGTTAGCAACGTCAGAATATCATTCCAGATGCAGTGGAGCATAATGGGTTTGGATAATGAAAATATATTGCTCTCTATCTAACAAGCTGAAAGTAAAAGAGCAGACTGGTCACACAGAGCCTCCCACCATCAATAGAGTGCCTTGATTGTCTGAAGTGCATAGAAAGGAGCCCTGGGATAGTGAATAAAGTAGTACACTGGGGACAGAGGGACTGTTAATGAACCTCTCTCAAGTTTGTGAACAGGGCTTCTCCTCAGCTCACAGTATCAGCTCATTTTGTATGATTAGTTAATGAATTGGAGTTCGGATCAGATCATTCATCAGCCCTGTTTTAATTGCCTGCCTAGCTGCTCAAGGACCTGGAAGTCCTTCAGTAAGTAACCTAACCCCTTGAGCTTGAACTGCAGTCATGTTTCCTGATGAGAAAAGAAAAGAGAAGAGAGAGCAAAGGCGAGAACCAGAACATTTTAACCAATTGTTTCCACCAGTTTCTCTTGCAGAATACAACCAGCCAGAAGTGACTGCAGTCAGACTCACCAGAGAGGCAACCAAACAGCCTTGTAATACTAATGGGAGAATTTACCAGTCCAGGCCCAAAATCTGCTTTTCCATCTGTTACCACAAGGAGGAGAATAATGAAAAAAAGGAGTCTCTGACCCATCAAAAACAAAGGCATGCACAAAGGAGGGCAAACAGGGACACAGGCCCCCCACGCTAATCAGTGGAAGCACAGAACTCCTCCAGCCCAAGGGCCGTGGTGGGAGCTGACAGCTCCTCCAGCCCCGGGGCTCTGGCAGAGGTACAAAACGTGCCCCTCCAAAAGCGGTGAAATTTAAATTCCTGCGCATGCTCCTGATCAAAAACATTGCCTGCCACATTTTGCAAGGCTACTTTAGAGGCAACCCCACCCTTATTCTGTTGCTGTCATGGTCCCTTCTAGTATGAGCTTGACAACTGTAGTTGGGACAAGGGGGAGAAGTTGCAGAGGGACAGTATCTGCCCCATGATGGGAGTGACTAATGGAGAGTTTTATCACTTGATGAGATGGATGGGCTGGGATTATAAATTGGTTACACTCAAGGAGGATGGCCAGTCATATGGAAAGTAGATTCAGAATCACATGTTTACTGGGAGCTGAGAAGAGCTGAGACATGCAAATGAGGTATATATGCAGATCACGGGCTACATAATTTGGGGTTCCTTTTATTTGCCTTCTTATTTTTGAGCCTTCAGTGTTCACATTTCCTCCACAACCAGTAGAGCTGGAAACTTTCTGTAAATGAAAGCTTAGTGTCACTTAATCACTTGACTCCAGAAGCTGGGGCTTTTTGAAAAAACACCAGATATCATAAATCTTGTGATAAACTAGTCAAAGTTGAGAATGAGGTGTACAATACCAAACCCTGGTTTCTTTCCTTCTCATGCTTGGTTCCTCCTTTCAGACACAATCCAGGTGTCTTGATACTGGAAAGACAGACTAGCATCTGGGAAAACAGTGTACAGAAGAAATAGCGTCAGATGCTAAGGAGAATTAGGTTGTGACTAGTGACCAATTTCCATGGTAGGTAGAGCTGTATTGTAAATATAGGAGGACATCAGGAAACGTTTGTTGGATATCCATCTCAAGAGTGCTCAGAGAAAAACCAGGAAGAATCTTCTGTTTGCATCAGAACAAGCAACGAAGTTTACAATCATTCCTCATCACTTAGCATAATATATCCACAGCAGTGATCTTACCTAACATGGGGCATACAGTCTATTTACATGTCATGATCAAATGACAAGCAATGCACCCTTCTTCTCCTGCTCCAAATATTTTGCCCTGAATTGGCAAGGTCATTTTCTAAAACTAGCATTAGGCAGAGCAATTAGCTTTAGTGCATTTAGACAACAACTCCATTCTGTATTTTTAGTCACGAGGTATTTTAAATAGGTCACTTGTTTCCCAGTGTTTCATGTTCTGCCCTGATCCTGTTAATTTTTCATAAACTACAAAAAAGAAGCTAAAACACTAACGGGTCTGACCTAAATCCACAAAATCCAGGTTAAAGGCTAAAAATCTGGGAAGATAGACAGCCCTTACCTTACATAGCAGTTATTTACTGTATGGCAAATAGAAAGAGGCATAATGCAAAATAAGACTGATGTCCGCCTATGTTTTTCATTCTGACCTCTGAACTGTCATTGCTTTGAGGGGTTACTTCAACCTGGGGCTCTGTAGCTCTTTTTTGTTTGTTAGCTTTATAGCAAGTATTTTTTTTTAAATGAAAAACTCAGAGGCATCAAATATATAGTTGAAGAGTAAGAAGAAATAAGAGTGAGTATGAGCAGTGAGGCCAAATCAACACCACATGCCTATTGTATAAAATCTCTTGATGTTACTATAGGCAAATGTGTCACTGTAGTATTATAGATACCGGACCAGCTTCTTGAATCCACTGTGGCCCCTTTACTCTTCTAGGGTGGCACAAAGGGACTGTAAACTACTGAGACAACTGCTCCTGCCTTGGAAATACCCCCAATATAAGGAGGATTTTCTGGTAGCACAGGACACACTACCTCTCCTCACAGATCCCACTGCGGAGGTGCAGGGGATGTGTCCACAGCATCCTGCCCTCCAGCTCTTCTCAGTGATGAAAGCACCCACAGGAGTTACCACATGGAAAGCAATTGTAAAGAAGCCATTGGGCTGCTCTAAATTGCTCAAGGCCCAACTGGCCCCAGAATTTTGAGAGCATGATGGTGGGTTTTATTGCTCCCCCTCTCTCTCTCTCTCCCCCTACTCCGTGCCTAGTGCAGTAAAGCAGTAATGCAGGGTTTGGCCAACAGATTACACACACACACGTGTGATTTCATATGTATATTTATAATATGAATCATTTATTAAATAGAGTCATTACAGTTTATTGTGTAAATAAATATTTAAATGTAATAAAATCCATAAAAAGTGTTTTTTCCTTCATGCACAGTGGCTTTTTAAAATGTTTGTTTTCTATCATTATCTCAGCTGTTTAAAAAGTAACAGTTTAGAACACCCAAAGTAGTCCATGTTTAGGGCCTGATCCTGCCCAGCTAAAGACAATGAGAGTTTAGCCAGAAACTTCAGTGAGAACGTACACACAAGTCATTTACTCTGAATTTGTAAATGAGACTGGTTTTTTGTTTGGTTGGTTTTTAAATTTTACTGATGGCAGAAACCACTATTTGGACTGGCTCCTGATAACCATAAAAATGATCGAACTTGGTAAAAATATAAACATGGAAAAAATAATATATCTAGACCAAGTTTCAGCCCAAAATTCATATATTTTAAGGTCAAAAGGAACCATTAGATAATCTAGTCTGACCTCCTGCATAGCAGAGGCCAGAGAATTTCATCCAGTTGTTCCTGTATTGAACCCAACAGCAGTTAATATGGCTGTAATATTGCATTGTGTTATAAATTAATAGAATGGAAACTTTTTTTGTAATAGAGATAGTAGAATATATTTTCTTCCCTAATTTTGTGATGGGGGAGGGCTTTGGGGAGGTGGACAGAACATATCATTTTCGTCTATTGTTTAAAAATAACTGTTGTATAAATTCAGTTATGTGAAGTTCATTTTTAAAAGGTTTTTTGATTTAACTCACTTTCCTCAAGAGGAGGAAGTGAAAAGTTGATGAACAAAATGTATCTTCATCTTCTGTTTTGTATTAACCACTGAGGTATTTATTTTGTATTTCATCAGTTGAAAGGCTCTGGTTTTAGAATGCTCTAAGTTACTACAAATTTACTTGCTTACGTTTATAACTCTAATGTTTAGGTTTGTTGTCTATAGACCAATAAAAAAAAAAGTTACCTTGACTTGAGTGGACTACTGCACCTTATACACTGGAAATGTAATTGACAGACTGGGTTTCAGAATGAGTGCACTGCAAAAATTAGCTCATTAGCATGGTGGAGGTCAACAGATGGAAAGTATAGATGTTGGTCAAGTTTCCAATGCCAAATATGTATGATTCCATTCTGTAAAATATTTTGTGTTGCCATGAAATTTGTTTTTGCATGAAACAATAAAACCATGTTTATTTTCATTTATTTGAACCTAATTCTACTTCTAGTCTTTCCAGTTGCCTGCATGAAAGGAATTACTTTGTACAGGAGAATTATTTTAGTGCTGGTTTCAGGGGACTTAGCAGATCTACTCCGAATTCAGCCATTCCTTTCCAGCTACTCTGGGACCGTGGTTTGAGTTTGGGACTCTAGCTAGGACTACCATGGCTGTCTCCCTCTACCCATCACCATTTTGACACCCGATTAAAGGGAGATCTATCTCCATTCTTTGCCTCCAGCAAAACTGCAGTAATCTACAACGGACTGTATTAATAATACATACTACTAAGAAAGTTTTCCTCCAAGGATCTCAAAGTGCATTTCAAAGGAGGGTGAGTACCATTAGTCTCATGTTTAGGAAATGGAATCAGATAGACTAAGTGAGCTGCTTAGGTCACACTGTGACTTGCTGGAGAAAGAATCCATTTCCTTCCACTTCCAGTTTCATGCCCTATTCATGGCACTGTGCTTCCTCCCTTAAATGTGCTATTTCTCTATAAGAGCAGCCATACCGGGTCAGACCAAAGGTCCATCTAGCCCAGTATCCTGTCTACCGGCAGTGGCCAATGCCAGGTGCCCCAGAGGGAGTGGACCTAACAGGCAATGATCAAGTGATCTCTCTCCTGCCATCCATCTCCACCGTCTGACAAACAGAGGCTAGGGACACCATTCCTTACCCATCCTGGCTAATAGCCATTAATGGACTCTATAGCCTTTTCAGTTGCAGTGATTTTGCCACTGCTGCTTTGCTACGGAATTGCATGCAAAATACTTTGTATCAAGATTCCAGATCCCTGTGCCCAGAGAGAGAGAGAGAGAGAGAGAGAGAGAGAGCGGTCATCAACAGTGCCATACTTCAGAGCAGGCACTAGATCATTGAACCACATAATATGGTTGCACTGTGGAAATTTGCAGCTGAGGCGGTTAGGTGTTATATCACAGTTTAACATATACAGCCTTGCAGGAGTATTAGAAAGCCTTTGCTGTAAGACACAAATGCATTTTATTTCTAAAAATAAGGTATTTTACATTGGCAGGAGGGGAAGTATCACGAGTCAAGCTTTCTGGCTGGGAATTTTTAAACTAGGGTATCTTTAGCTGTAGGAGCAGTGTTTATTTCATAGATCTGGGTCGTAGCCCTCCTCTTCAGCTCTCGGGCCACTTGGCAAACAACAAAAGGCCAGCAACAATGAACTGCCATCCAGTCTTCACACAGGGTTCCCTGGGGAAAGCAGGAAAATCATTTCACACAAATGGAATGATCGTGAAGCAGCTTTTCCGCCTCGCTGTGTGTTTCCTATTCTAATCACCCTACAGTCAGAACAAGTTGCTGGGCCTGATTCGGACCTAAATCAACAAGTTACCCTGGATTTACATTGGGGTAAATGAGATCTGATTTGGGCCCAGTGCCTAACAGGATCTTTTCTAATCTACTGGCCTACAGAAGACTTAGAATCTGTCTACACTGCAGTGTACCATTAATCCAGCTAGCTCACGTACTGGATAGCAGTGAAGCCACGGCAGCATAGACTTCAACACAGGCTAGCTGCCCATGTAATTGCTATGGGTCCTGGGCAGGCTTGTACAGCCCATATTGAAGCCCAGGCTGCTGCAGCTTCGCTGCGGTCAGTACCGGAGCTAACTAGACTGAAGCTAACTTGGGTATGTCTACACGAGCTGCAGTTACACCCCCGCACTGCAGCGCGGACATAACCTTAGGCTCTGATCTTGCAAGGTGCTGAGTGCCCATGACTCCCAATAAAGCCAATAAGATTTGAGGATATTCAGGACCTCATAAGCCTTTAAAGTGTCTCTACACATGGTTTGAACAATGTTCTTTGTTCCCTGCCATCCTGATTACATAGCAATGAATATTTTACAGCATCAGCTCTGGGCTATGTAAATGTACAGCAACAAAAACAACAATCCCCACCCACCTACCCCCACAGTTCTGTTCTTCCAAAGTACTTTAAAAAACATGAGTAGTTGCTTGGAGTTGGCATTCTATTATAAATCAAATGCTGCCTTTGCCTCTGTGCAAAGAGAAAGGGCATTCTTGAGGTTTAATGCATTAGTTCTGCTTTAAAAATGCATTAAAGCATCTAAACAACAGATTCTCAGATCACAGAGGAGTTTGGCTAGAGGACCCTGTTCAAACTAAGGGAGGAGGAAGGCCAGTGAGGTGCTGAGCTCCCTGTTCTCAGGATCAGGCCCCAAATGAACTTTTTACATTTGCATAATTTCTACATCATCAATATTCAATAGCACACTCTAGCACACTAATCCCATTTGACCACGTCTACAGATATTAAGCTTGTTCTGCAGTCTCTCTTTTGGGAACAGGAGGAACATGCCTCTTAGCATTATGTAAGCTGCACAAAAGAGCCTCCCGCCTCCACCCTCCCAAACACACACACACACACACACAAAAAGACTTACTCGTATCTTGTATTTCTCTCTGGCGCCGACTCTCAACGCTAAGGTGGAACCTGGCAGCAATGGGAAACACAGGCACTCCCCATAGTGCCTTGCAAGGTCGCATTCTAGACATGGGCTACACAAGGCCCCACAGACACCTGCCAGTAACCACAATCACAGGAGTGCTGTAGGTTCACACTTATCAAGAGGCAAACGGCACTTTGAAAATAATCTGGGACATTAATTTTATTCTAATAACCTTGTCCCCTCAGGGATAAGAACGTTTTAAACTGGACTTCACAGAATTCTAGCAAACCCTACGCTAGCAGGGAGGTGGTGGCTTTCCAACATGTCCCATCTCCTCTTCCCAATCCCCTAGTGCTTAGTTCTCAACATGTAGCTTTCTACAGAACACCAGGTAGGGTTTCATAAGTTACAGTTTGATAACCACTACTCTACTTGGCGCAGCAGGTCATTTTTGGTTCTAATGTCTATGGATCTATGAACTATTCTATCTTCAACCAACCATTGCTAGCAGGATGCTGCTATGGTTTTGCTGATCAGTGTGGATAGGGATTTTAATCTTTCAGCTAAAACAACCAACACAGGTTTACAATGGATCACCCACCCCCACAAAAGTAGTCTATATAACACTTTTCTAACACTAACGGCCTTTTTATACTACTGTTCCAACCAAGTCAGAAGATACACTCCCCTGTAGTGCAAATGGGCCCTAAATCTCCAGAAGTGTGACTCTATGAACAACAAGGGGGATGAACTGACAGCAAAGCTTAAAATGCATTGTATTCAAAATATCTTTCCAGACAGCACTGAATCCCATTTGGCTTCATTTGTTTTTCTTTTTAAAAATTCTTGAAAAAGGTAAATTCAACAGCATTGTTATCACAATTTCATGCAATTCATTTAAATGTCTTTTGTTCTCAGATCAGGAGTAAAAGCGCCTAGGATAGCATTTGTCTACAGCAGAATTATAGCACAAGTGCCCACCGCAGGGAATCATTCGTTTAATTTCTTTGGTGACAACAGATACAGTATTTTTCAATAAAATATATTAGTTCCTGTTCTGTTAATTGTGGTCCATAGCCCCCTTTTGGGGAAATCTTCACATTAATCTCAGTGGAAGCCTAAATCTGTAATTACTTTAAATATTATGTTCTGAAGATGACAAAAGCTGAAAGAAATAGTAAAACCACAGCCCTCAACTCACCTAATCTGGGAGCAGGGGACTGGCTAAGACAACAAAGTCAATGCAAACGATCCCAGGTGACACAGCAGGAGAAACTAAACAGAGTTCTTCATCCAGTATTTCTCCACGTGGCGGAGAGCAAAATTTGAAAGCCAAAACTGAATCCCCAGTTCTATCTTCAGCTGAGTAGCGATGCCAACCAGGTCTTGCAACCTATTTTTATGGCCCAATCAACCCAGCCAGAAACTGGAATTAAAAAGCCCTGCCCCCTCCATGTAGAACTCCGCTGATTTTAGTTTCAGAGTAGCAGCCGTGTTAGTCTGTATCCTCAAAAAGAACAGGAGTACTTGTGGCACCTTAGAGACTAACAAATTTATTAGAGCATAAGCTTTCGTGGGCTACAACCCACTTCTTCGGAATCCACAGGTGTCAATGAGGGCATAGTTTGACCTCATACCTGCATCCAAAGCTCAGCTGAGCTACCTTCAGACAAATCAGGCAAAGCAGTAGCAGTTTTCTGAGAACATGCACATCAGCTGTATTGTTTCAGCTGCTCCACTGTGAATTTAAGTTCACGGATCTATTGAACAATTGCAAACACATACATATGCCAGTTTATTCCTCCAACTGGCATTAAAAATACTTTTTCCATAAAATAAGCAGCCCTGGCCTTTAGAGTTGTGTTCAGAATAAAATTCAGAGAACTAGTTCACAATGAGCAATATGAAGCACCTTGTGCCTTCGAATCTGGCTTTGCTCCAGACTGTATTCTTATTGCAAATTAATAGTGATGATTTGCTATTGTTGACATATTATGAAAGAGATAAAAGGACAAAAGAAACCAGAAGAAAATAATAAGCGAGAGAAAATAAAGACAAGAAAACCTGAAGTGCTATTAAGGAAATAAAACATCAAAAGAAACAAAGAAAAACATTGCTATTAGTTGTTTACCTTCTGTTTAAAGGATTAGAAATTTCCGCCACAATTTCTTTTCTTTTTCCCCCTTTCTTTTTTAGTTAAGGCAAAGAAACAATTTCTTTTTAAAGATCAGAGGGAAAATAATGCATGTTTAGGATTCCATGGTGTGTCAGACTAAGATACAGAAGGCAGGTTCATTGCCTTTTTTAATTTTTAGCAACTGCTTATACACAAAAGAGTTTGGTTTTTAAAAAAAACTGTGTTTACGAACATACCGTCTCTCTCTTAGTCAGGGATGGCAGGAAGCCATTGATTAATGGCACCTAGTTAGTGCTATAAGCCATGGGGATAATGCAAACTCTCAGTGTAACACAGGAGATGAGGATGACAGAAGAACAACTAGCTGACCAAATCCCTTTTGATGCTGAGCATCCCTGACTCCAGCGGACTTCCATGGATGATGTCAGTGCTGAACACTATTCAGGGATCTAGCCCAACTAGATTTAAATGTTCCCACATGACGGCTAATAACTGTGACATTATGAGCGGCTGAAGCAAAAGGAGTTATTCGGCAGCCAAGATTTAACACAGCTGCAGTAGAGAGGGGCTTATGTACTCTATTGCTTGCTTAACATAATTTATGACCAAATTAAATAAGGGAGTAAAGAGAGTATATGTCTTCCACCCACCGCATGCAAGCCCATAGGCACACACAAATTACAGCTCTGGGTTATCCTGCCATTTTCCGGTTGGTTGGAAGGGGACTCAAGTCCAAAGAAAATGGAAAGTTGAAAATAATGAGTTTTTACTTTTCTGTTATTTAATTAAACTGAAATATGGGAGGAGGAGGAAAGGGCCTGTATTTCTGGCTTTAGCGCCTATCATTTCAACCCCTCGGTAGCAGCAGGTACTCCAAGCGCTATATGTGGATGTGCCACCATGTATGTAAATTTATTCTCTCTAATTGAAAAGAATGGCAGCATTAAGCTAATTTAATATTGGGCAAGTTCAAGGATCAGTTTTCAAATAGAAATTAATACTTTCCACTCCTCCTAAATGAGGACATTTAAGACCTTGATAGACATACAGGAATTTAGTCTAACATGAGACAAAGATATCATCCCCACTTTGCAAAAGGGGAACCTGAGGGACAGAGAAGGAAGCGACTTGCCCAAGCTTACAATCATGCTACAGCATGTCTTTAGAAGAGCCAGGAGAAGAACTCATGATTCACAAGTGCTGCACCTTAACCACTCAACAGTCCCTGCTTCTTTCCTTCAGGGAAAATCACACAATTAAACTAGCTTTTCAGCTCTGGAGAACTGACCTTTTTCAATTCATTTGGTTTTTTAAATCAAGTTCTGTCTAATTAAAGTACTTGTCTGGCCTCGATCACCGGAGTATCTGGGCACCTCACAGTTTGTAACGTATTTACCCTCCCAAGGAATGGCAGTGCTATTATCCCCATTTTACAGATGGGGATCTGAGGCACAAAAGATATGTCTACGCAGCAACTGGGAGCGTGTCCCCCAGCCAGGTAGACAGACAAGCTCCACTCAAGTTAGCATGCTAAAAAGAGCAGTGTGGACGTTGTGGCACAGGCAGCAGCTCGGGCTAGACACCTGAGCTTGGACCCAGGAATTCGGGTGAGCTTGGACTCTGGCAGCTGGCCCGAACTACTCCCCATGCTGCAACAGCCACTCTCCTATTTTCAGCGCACTAGCTCAACTGTCTACCTGGCTGGGAGACCTGCTCCCAACTGCAATGCAGACATACCCAGGGAGGCTAAGACCATGTCTACACTGCGACCCACAGCACGAAGTCTCAGAGCCCAGGCCAACTGACTTAGGCTTGCAGGACTCAAGCTAAAGTGCTCAAAATAGCGGTGTAGATGTTCAGGCTCAGGCTGGAGCCTAGGCTTTGAAACCTGGTGCGAGAGGAAGGTCTCAGAGCCCTGGCTCCAGCTCAAACATTTACACTTTTATTTTTAGCCCCACAACCTGAGTCAGAGTCTACTGACCCAAGGCTCCAGAATTCAGTGCCCTGGGTTTTTGTTTGTTTGTTTGCAGCACAGACATACACTGACTAGCTCAAGATCACACAGGAATGCGGGGGGGGGGGAAAGCTGGGACTTGAACTCAAGTCTCTGGCTAGTGCCTTAATCACTAGACCATCCTTCCTCTCTGAACGTCTGTTCAAAATGTGTTTAACACACAGGTAATCCAGTAACATGCACCTCTCATAGTACATACTCTATCTTACAAAATGGGGCATTCTAGTCATCTGATGGAATATCATGCCTTCCTATTGGTGAGAGTAACTCCTCTGAAAATGATAACTTTCCGAATCAATTCTCTTTTGACAAGGATTGTTCTCAATATTCCAGAAACTAATCTTCAAGAACAGCTCCAATATTTAAAGCTATTTTGCAACTATGGAAGAAAAGTAGATGGGGGAGTTTTGGTTCGGAGGTCCTTTGGTACTGAGTGAGTTGGCACCAGAAACTACAAACTACTTCAACAAACAACATGGCTATAAGCAACTCACTAATGCACAAGAGCAAACTGATTTGGCTGGAGATATCTAGTCTTTCAGACCCATCTTCCCTGGTTCTCTCAAGTACTGATGTGGTTTAATTCAGCCCGCAGGGGAGGAAAATAGACAGAGCCTATTTAGCTCAAACCTGCTTCAGGACACCCATCCTTCTCTTCCTTCTGGCAACGGAAATAGTAGCAGCCATTCAAATTAGGGACCATTCCAGAATGCAGGGAAGTTGAGATAAACACTGTCACAAGTAAAATTCGCGTAGAGATCTCACTTTGATCCCATCATTCGCCCACACTATAAATCACCATGCAATATGAGAAGATGGGTATCCCCTGTTCAGGAAAGGCACAGAACTCGCAAATGTAAGTCAGCAATGGAGTTCATTAGCCGGGCTGTGTAGAGGAAGCTTGCAAGACACACCAGATAAACCAAAGGGGAAAGTGTGTGTGTGAAAGATTCTTTGTAACTATTTGCAAAATCCTTAATGAGTTCCTGCATTACGCGGGCTAATACTTGGTTCTGTTAGCACTCACTTACATGGAGCACCCGAATGAAACAAAAACATGGAACAACTAAGGCCTCTGTGACAGGCATTCTACAGCTTTCAGCGCCTGAATTGGAGTCAGAAGAATTGGTCTATTCCTGACTTTACCACTGATTCACTGTGTTAGCTTCAGTAAGACACTTAATGGTCCGATGCCTCAGTTTCCCCACTGACAAAATGGGACAATAAAATACACCCAACCTTTAGAATCCATGAAAGAGGCTTCCACAAGTGTTATTTGTTTTTATGATTTGACTATTGATTTATTGGGAGTCTCGGTTATATTAATTTCATTACCCCTAAACCAGCCATGATGGATGGTCTGATCTTCAAGCTCCAGCGTCTGGTAACTGGTCTATAAAAGTCTCATTTTGTTTTCCTCCCCGTATTACTTGGATTCATCCCCAAAGGAGGAATTAAAGCAATGATAAAACACTGCAAACTCTTACAAACACTCTTGTCACTGCAGATACCAAAGAGGCCAGTGGTCCAATCTCCTCCGGTCTGTATGACTGTTGTGACGGTGGACGTGCCAACCCGAGTCGGCTGAGTTGTCACGGGCTCTGTTGGCTTTTTGTTCCTGATTGAAAAAAAAACAATAAAATATAAAAGGGAGGCTGGGCTTTTACCACCAAGGTTGCTCATAAACGAAGCAATCCTGAGTTTGACAGAAAAAAAAAAGTGGAATTCATTATTTTAGTGCTACCAATTTGCTTTATGGCTATCCTCTTTTGCAGTTTCGTTTCTCTCTGATTCTGTTGCTGCTGCTCTCTATCCTCTCAGAGTGTGGCAGAAAATATAGCTGATCACCAGTGCCCTTCAGTCTCTAGCAAACAAAGAAATGATCAGAAACCAAGTACTTCAAGTGCAAATATACAATATCTATGCAAGTTTCAGCATCCACCAGCCAAATCACTGCAATTTACCTCTTGAATGTTAACGCTAGAAATCTGTTCCTAGCACAGACCTTTCATCCTTATGATGAATGTATCAAATCATTCATCATTTCACCAGAGGGGGTTTTCAAGGGCTGAGCTACTGATACTGATTTTTTTCTGAGTGGAACGATTTCATTTGCATGCTGAAATTGCATTCTTTCCTTTTCGGACATAGCATGAAACTTGGTTTCTGAGCCAGACCCAGCCTCTTTCTAAAGTAGTATTGTGAGCAACTCTTCTGGTGGAATATCTAAGGCTGCATTCGGTGCTGCATCTTCCAAGAGGTGCAGCCCAGAAGATGCCCCCAAGGGGTGTAGGGTGTGCCAAGGTACCTTTAATCCCCCTTTGTACCACCCAGACTGTGCCTGCAGCCAATGCTGCAAACCCCAAATTATGGCAGCATCTTCACCGTTATCTGCAGGGATCTTTGCAGCCTAGAATGGTAGAAGTGCTCAATGCTAGATCCACTCCCCTTCTTTTTGCCAACACCCTTGCCTCACCCATGCCATGTTCCCAGCCCTGCTTCTTACAGCAGGGAGGCTGAAATACAGGGAGAGGAGCAGCAAATCAGATCTCATGCGTCAGAGATTCATTCAATTGCCCGCAGGGTCAGGAAGGAATTTTTTCTCTGATACACAATTGGCCAGATGTATTCTAGGGTTGTTGAACATTTTTTATTTATTTATTTTTTTGCCCTCTTCTGAAGCACCAGAGACTGGCCACAGCTGGAGCCACGATGACAAATGGGGAGGAGCAGTGCTCTCAGGTGGCATGGAGAATCCTCTTTTTTAGATGCCTGGCTGGTGTTTCTTGCTGACATGCTCAGGCTCATACAGATCATCAGATTTGGAATCAGGAAGATTCCACACACCATGTCAGACTGGCTGGGACTTTGGGGAAGTTTTGCCTCTCTCTTCAGCAAGGGTCAAAGATCATCTGGGCATGTCTTACCTAATCTATTTCCTGCCATTGCAGGGGCCTCGGGCAGCGGTACCTCGGTCTCTCCTGTTCTCTGCCTATGGCACTCAATGGTTTTGTTTCCTGAGGACTGAAATGCTTTTGTCTAACTAAAATCATTGGGCTCAATCTGAATGCATCAAATCATAGAAATGTAGAGCTAGAATAGACCTGGAAAAGTCATCAAAGCCCAGCTCCAGCGCTGAAGCAGGGCCAAGTAAACCTAGACCATCCTTGACAGGTGTTTATCCAACCTGTTCTTAAAAAAAATCCCAACGGGGATTCCATAGCCTCCATTGAAAACCTAGGGTATGTCTTCACTACCCGCCGCATCGGCGGGTAGTAATCGATCTATCGGGGATCAATTTATCCCGTCTCGTCTAGACGCAATAAATCGATCCCCGAATGTGCTCCCCGTCGACTCCGGAACTCCACCAGGTCGAGAGGGGGAAGCAGAGTCGACAGGGGAGCTGCAGCCATCAATCCCACACCGTGAGGATGCGAGGTAAGTCGATCTAAGATACGTCGACTTCAGCTACGCTATTCTCGTAGCTGAAGTGCCGTACCTTAGATCGATTCCTTCCCCAGTGTAGACCAGCCCTTAGTCCAGAGCTTAACTACCCTTAGAGTTGGAATGTTTTTTCTAATATCTACCCTAAATCTCCCTTGCTAAAGATTATGCCCATTACTTATCTTATTTTCAGTGGACCTGGAGAATTGAGCACTGTCCTCCTCATAAAAGTCATTAACGTATCTGAAGACTGTTAGCAGGTCTCGCCTCAGTCTTCATTTCTCAAGACTAAACAGATCGAGTTTTTTTAACCTTTCCTCATAGGTAGGATTTTCTAAACCTTTTATCATTTTTGTTGCTCTCCTCTTTCCTAATGTGTGGTGCCCAGAATTGGACACAGGACTCTAGCTGAGGCCTCATCAGTGCCCAGTAGAGTGGGACAATTACCTCCCATGTCTTACATAAAACACTCCCCATTAATACTCCCCAAAATATTAGCCTTTATATAAGAGTATCTGGGTGAAAATTCATGGACTGTGTTAAACAAGAGGTGAGACTAGATGATCTATAATGGTCCTTTCTGGACGTAAACTCTATGAAATCAATGAAAATAGGACCATGTAAACTGGCATTAAGCAGCTCCAGCATTGGGGGAATTTGCCGTAGGGCTTAGGTGACATCTTTACAGCCCCAGCCTACATGGCATGGTAGCAGCACAAACAGAGGCCAGAGTGGGGACCAAAATCTAGCTCCCAGGTCTCAGGTTTATTTCATACAAATGGAGAGTCAAACCAGAGTGGTTCGATCCCCATTTAAAAACCAAGAGTTGGCAGCAACAGACCTGCATGGATTTTTTAAAATTATTTATTAAAATGCTCCACATAGTAATTAATTTTCCCTAGGTTCAATAATGGTGTTCCACTTGCTTTGAAACTGAAACTGCAAGAACCTTAATAAAAAGGGATTGAGAGGTTGACTAGTTTCTCTGGACTTCTGGTGAAGTAATGCTGCTTTTTGCCGAACAATTTTTTTTTAATGCTTCTTGCAGCAATGCTACCTCAGTAAATCACAACAGTTAAATCTCCACTATAGTATCCTAGGGGAACTATTTTCTCCACCCCCTTTCTCCAGCAGTGGAAGAACACAGCAGTCTCGCTGCTGTGCTAAATCAGGGAAGCTGTCCTTCATGCCAATATCAATAGGTTCTGCTATTAAACTATATAACTCAGGAGGGAGCCTGTATCAATCCTCAGCATTTCTTAATGTTATTCTTTGAGAACACACAACAATCTGATGATGATTTGGTCAATATTTTGACCATATGGGACAACACGCACTTAAATTAGAAATGGCAGCAAGGTCTAGTTGACATGGACCTAAGAGCCAAGAACTCCTGGGGCCCAGCCACGCTCTTCTATAGAAAGTCCCACAGGAAGGTGTCCTGTGGCAAGCCAAACTCTGTAAAAATCAGGGGTCTGCTGGAGAATGAGGTTCATCTGCATGGAGGCCCTGTGCCTCCACACTGGATTTGGGATCCACTCCTTCTATGCTGCCAGGGACTCTTGTACCTTGGGTCAGTACAGAGCAGCTCTGGTTCATGAAGTAATATAGATGTTGGCTATATCAGTGCTTGAGTAGTGAATTCTCCGCAGAGTTGCTGGAGGGAGGCCTGGGGGTTGTAGGGCTCTCTCAGCCTCATTCCCAGCCCCATGGAAGCACAAGGAAGGTGCTGTGGAAACAATTAACACACACATGCATACAAGGGGGAAGATCCTCTCCATGTGGGTTCAAGGAGGGCCAATCCAGGCCCTGAGCTGTAATCCCAGTTTTGTACTGATGCTTCTCAGGCAAGACTCAACCGCAGTGTATCATGCCATTGTTTCCTATGCTGTAAAATGGGGATAATCCTTATCTATCCCACACAGGCAATTTGAGAGTTGATCAATATTAACGTACAGCCACATGAAAGTGCACAGCACTACATAAAAATTAAAAATGAGTATTTGCAAATGTGCTCACTCATGGCTGTTTCCTAAAGGGGATTCCTTTCCTACTCAGCAGCTGATTTGTGTGTCTCATTAACATTTAGTTGATGATTTCAGGTTGTTCCTAATCTCAGTGGAGAATAAATCCAGCAAAGGTCAAACTATCTTGCTAGCCCAATAAAACACTATTGAAATACATCCAGATGTGGTTTAATCAAAATTTGGATTCTGGGTGCTTTGTTGGTGCCCCATGCAGTCTCGCTTCATTGGTGCCCCATGGTTCTCACTTCATTGGCCATGAAGGCCTAAAAGGACCAATCAGCTTCTCAGCTGAAATCCACACAAGACTGAATAACAAGGAATCATCTCTAAGACTTGTGCCAAACTGAATCCTGTACACAGCACTATATTGCAGCAAGCATACATTTCTGATCACCTGTAATACGTTTTTGTTTTTTTACACACCATTTATTTGTAATGCCAACTATGAAGTGAAAGGTAAGCGCCTCATTTTATTTCTTACCGTAGAGCAGAAAGAAAAAAGGTCCCATCTTCAGGTGTTGTTAGGGAAAGGATAAGCGGCGCTTGGATCTCAGGCAATGAGGCCTCCTCAGTCACACTGAAGCAGTGACTTCCCAACTGGTTCATTTGGTGTTGAGGGGAAGGAGAGAGGAAAATTCTCCTCTGTTGGATTCAGAAGTGCCTCAAGATTGCTCACAGCTGAATACTGACGACATCATTGCATGCTCAGGCCTGATGTCACAATAGGGTCCCAACAGCTGAAACAACCTCCAGATTAGAAAGTGAAACCCCCTCCTCCCCCAGAAATCTCTCTCTCACACACACACACACACACACACACACACACACACACACACACACACACACACACACACACACTACTACTA